CCACCCACCCATCTACCCACTCACCCATCCACCCACCCACCTGCCCACTCCCCCATCCATCCATCCACCCATTCATCCACCTACCCACCCACCCGTTCACTGACTCATTTTCTCATGCATTTATTCACTCAGCCTCTCCAGGGTGCCTGCCCTGTGCTGGGTGCTACAGGCTCAGAGACAAATCTGACACAACCCTGCCTCCCAGAAGCTCACCGTTGGGTGGGGAGATGTTCAGACCTGTACAAAACAGCTTAAACAGTGAGGTGGCATGTTTTCTGTTTCTGCGGTGGAGAAGGGTAAAGTTTGGGCATGTTTGTTCAGGAGACAAAGGGCAGGTGAAACTTGGCTGCCGTGACCGAGAAAACATGTTTGTCTCAAATGTCACCTACTTAGGCGGCAGCTTCTAACACCGACCCTCCCCCCAACACTCCCTGTCCCCTCCCTACGCCATGTCGCTGCTTGGCATGTACCACCATCTGGCACGCTGTATTTTTATTGCATTGGTTCTGTCTTTCCCTTAGAACCCATGGGGCAGGGTGTTTCCTGTGTTTATTGCCGTGGCCCAGTGCCTGGAACATGGCATGTAGTAGGCAGGCAGTGTTTGTTGCATGGGGGGCGGGGGGGACATGGGCAGGGGCACCTGTTGCCCAGGGGCTGAAGATGCAGTCGGGGGCTGTGCAGATGGATAGCGAAAGTGGATCTGAACGTGAACTTCAGAGGTCTGACCGCAGGACTCGGCATCTCGCTGGATGTGGGGGTGCAGGGGGAAAGGCACCCAGGACAATTCCTGGGTTTCTGGTTCAGGAGCCAGGTGGTCAGTGGCATTTGCCACATTAGACACTACGCAGGAAACATGGGACAAACAGTTCCCTGTTCTTTCAGTTAGACAGCGTGCTTCAAGCTCCCTCATCATCTAAGGTGCTGGCCTCTCTCGGGGAGCGTCTGCTGGCATAAGTGACAGAGCTGGGATTTGAATGCAGGCAGCTTGGCTCCTAACCAGACTGACTGCGTCTCTAAAAGCCAGGACAGATAGCAGGACTGGCCTTGGACGGGCGCATCCTGCCCTTTGCCCTCTGCTGTGGCAGTTGCTACTGGAAAGTTATGTCCCCCACTCACCCCAGTCACACACTGCTGGGCAGGAGTAGGTGAGGCTGTCCCTCGTCAGTACTCAGCCTGTTCAAGGCCAGTCTGCAAATCCGCTCACAGGACGTGGCCCCTGCCCTGAGGACCACCCTGCCAGGGCTGCCTGCACCCTGTGCGTGTCAGGGGGACAGTGAGCCTCAGTGTCCTCACAGGGCCACAATGATTTCGAGTGACCAGCAGATGGGAGTGGCCTCTTATTGGAGTGGCTTCCTCTTCAGGGGTGTCCTGGTTTGGTTAGAAGCCGTACTGACAGCCCCGGAGGTGGGCCCTGCAGGGCTTGATCCCCTCGCTCAGCGATCCTTGCTCCATGCTGGGTCCGTGCTGGGAGCTTGAGACTCAGAATCGAGGCAGACCTGGCTGGGGCCCTGGGGGCAGGGGAGACATGTGGATGTGGCAGGGACACTGCGGGGCCAGGGTGGTGTGAAGGGCGTGGGGCAGACAGTGGGCTGTGCCTGGTGTTCATGCTGCTCCTAGCAGGGCTCCCGCCAGCCTCCCCAGTGCCAGGCACCGTGGTCCGTCGTCCCCACTCCCTCCCTGCCCACTGGAGCTTCTGGAGGATGGGCCGTGGGCCTTATTTGCCTCAGTGCAGCCTCAGCTCTGAGAATGTTTGTTGAACGAATAGGTGAGGGAGCTTTGAGGGTTCCCTGGGCAGGAGCAATTCCAGGGGAGTTCGGGAGGCCCACAGGCACAGTTAAGGCCCGAGTCTGGGCTAGGAGTGATAGAGACGTCACAGCCCCATCGCTGGATGTCCCTCCCAGGAGGTGTCTGGATGTGGCCTGGGGCCCGGGCCTGCAGGCACTGGGGACAGTGACCCCGCTTCCTGAGAGCCTAACGGCTCCTGTGACCTCTCACATACTTCCCCACACCCGGGTCCCCAGGGCACTGGGACAGGGGCCACTGGGGAAGGGTGGGAGGGAGTCCAGCTGGGCATCGACCTGCCTGCTTCCCAGCATGACCTCTGCCTTTGGGGCCACTGATCAGGGTCCTGCCTCCTGTCCCCTGCCCTCCACCGCAGCTATTTAAGAGGAGCTGGCTGGGAGCTGTCACCCTGGTGGTGGCATCAGACCGCTCTCAGGCAGGGAGACCTCAGGGCCTTCCCCACCACCCACGTTGTCCATGGATTTTGTTGCTGGAGCCATTGGAGGTAACAGACAGGGACAGCGGGGCCTGGCAAATGACTGCTGTTCCCAGGGGTACCAGAAGGAGCTGGGGGGGGGTCTGCCTTGGGGGGTCTCGTCTGGCAGATGTGGGGTTGCCTCTGGCAGATGTGGAGTCTGAGGAGACACTCTACTCTGGAGGGGCCAGGACCTGGCGTGGGCCACGGGTGCCAGGTGCCGGCAGGAAAGAGCGGGTTCCTCGGAGACTCGGGGAGGCGACGTAGGGCTGGGTGGAAGTGGAGGTGGGGTGAGTCTGCGCTGGCCTGGGGGGCTCACCCGGAGGCTGAGGGGCAGGTCCGGGGGTG